ATCTTCAAAAACTATCAAAATGCGAGGACCTTGAAATCGAAATGTCAAGAATGTGGCGGATGAGGACATTAACAATTTCATTTATAGTTGGATCCGTCGGATTGATTAGAAAAGATTCTAATAAAATCATTGAAGGAATCCCTGGTAGCCCATGCCTTAAAGAAATAGAAAAAATTGTACCCACAAGTACAGCACATACCTTACGAAGGGCTTTAATTATGAAAAATATGGGAGATTTTTTTTTAAACTGCTCAGTGAAAAATGTCATGATGCCATTTCTGAACTTAGGTCTCTTTTGGGGACCCGGAAAGAAAGGAGTATATACAAGAAAGCAAAGGAAATAAAAAAATGATAATAGGGGAATTTAAAAATGTAAAAGAGTAAGTTAAAGAAAAGATTTATTCAATGGAAATAAAAGGAAAATAATTTGTAAAGAATTAACAATAAGATAAGAAAAAAAGAAAGAAAAGGAAAGGAGAAGTAGAAAGAGAGTAATTAAAAGAAAACGAAGAAGAGATAAACGGAGAGAAACGAAACGAAAAGGAGAAAGCAAAAGTGAAAGCGAAAGCGAAAGAAGAGAAATAAATGATAATAAAAATAACCGAAACATTTAAAAATGGAAAAGAGAAAATTAAAGACAAATATTCAAATATAGAAATATAGAGGGAAAAGGATGATTAATTTGTAAAAACTAAGAAAAAGAAAAAAAAAAAAAGGAAAGGAAAATAAAGGAAAAAGGAGAAAGATAATAATTAAAAGAGGAAGAGGAAAAAATAAACGGAGAGAAACAAAATGGAAAGGAGAAAGCGAAAGTGAAAGTAAAAGACGAGAAATAAGAGAGAAATTTAAAAATTTCTAAAATTGAAAGAGAAAGATTGAATAAAAGGGACAAAGACAAATGATTTGGAAAGAACCAATAAAAAGAACAAAAGAAAGAAAAGGATAGAACGAGAAAGTGGGGGGGGGAATTAAAAGAATAACATAAAGACAATTTAAGCCGGAATTTTTGAGATGGTAAATTATTATTTTTTAATATGTCTCTATACTCGGACTTTTATGCAAGAAACGAGTAACATTCGTGTACAATTGCGAATTTCTCGTCATAAGATACGAATAAGGAAAGAAAGGACAAAAAAAAAAAAAATAAAAAAAAGAATTATTCCAACAATAGTTTCTTTTCCCACATTTTCCAGTCCCGGCACTCAGCCAACACACTAATTATATATTTTGACCAGTTCATTGCCTTTGAATCTAAGGGGACGCTAAAATCGATGAGAAACTATATCTTAGCAACAATGGCTACGATGTTCGCAATAGCCAAAGAAAATACTGAATTGGTTTTGAAGTCGGCAACTTGGCAGATACAAAGAATAACAAATAGACATAAACTGTTGTATGTGATAAAATATCTGATATGAAACATCTGAACACTGGAAGATGTGAAGAAAATGAATGTTTAAAGGTCTACTCTGCTGTCAACATTTCGTTCAGTAAGAACACCTTCAGAGCAACAAGAAAAGAAAATTCGCTGTCATGGAAACCTTACAAGATACAGTTAATTTGAAAATGTTTTGAACATTTAACTGTCAATAAAAATCAATGAGATTTGTACATAGGGAAATGTGAAGATAAAATGTAAATTATATTGATTTGATATCGGAAAATAGAACAAAGAAACATAAATAGAGTATATCTAAAGAAAATAATGAACACATATCACCTAAGACAGGGGTCGACAATCTTTTGGGGAGAGAGGGTCAGAAAGTCATGTAGTCTCTCGTATGAGGGCCTTGATATCAAATGTTTTAGAATAAATTGTTTCGGCCTCAGACTGCTCCGTCCAGAAGGATGCATTGGTCTGGAGGTTTGAAGAAAAAAAACAACGATGTTAATGTTAGATTATTTAAACAACTTTCGGAGTAGTTCCATGATATCAAATATATAACATATTGTTTCGGCCTCAGGCTGCTCCGTCCAGAAGGCTGCCTTGGTCTGGAGGTTTGAAGAAAAAAAAAACAACGATGTTAATGTTAGATTATTTAAACAAGTTTCCTTATTTGACTACAGGAATAACAATTAACACAATCAACAAAAAATGCAAATTCCTTACTGCAAACGAAATATAGTTAGAAATGGCAGATTATTTAATGAGACACGGTTTCAAGCTTATTGTTTGATAACTTCTCCACATCAGGTGAAATATTTGTCGATGACAGGAGCAAAACTTTATTAAGTAGGTCATCACCAAGCCTTGTTCTTAAACGACTTTTAGTATATTTCATTTTCGAACAAATGTTGTTCGTAAGAATATGTACTTCTGTTGTGTAGGAAACCTACCACCCCTCTTGAAGATGAACTTGTCTACAAACAAAGACGTTAAATAGTGGCATGTCAAAAGACAGACAGAGTCAGAGAAGTTCTTGGCTGAGTTAGTTATAGACTACTCAGGCGATTGCTGTACCTACGTACCAACCGAATAAACACCTTTTTATTGTTACGTGTTATTTGGCGTTTGTCTTTATTAACCACAAATCAACATCATAACAACTCCCAAATCATGATACCATCATTTTCCCATTATTCAAAAGGATTTTACATTTTCCATTTAGTCAAACATTTCTTGTAGATGTTAACAATGCATTCGGAATTAAATTTTGATTTAAAAAATTCGTCGCATTGTAAGTCATTTAACTCCAACTGATATTTCTCCGCAAATTAATTAAATAATAATTGCCGATTCCTGGCCTAAGTTATAACTTGTAATATTATTTACGCGTTAAGGAAAATTTAGAAATTCAATTTAGAATTCAAAGAAAATAAATGTTTTAATAAAATTTTATTAATATTTTTTAACCAGTATCTATTTAATATTATTTTCTTTAAGTTTTATCTTTTTTATTTTTTACAGTGGTATTCATCCTGTACAAGGCCTGAGGGCCACCCGAGGTAGAGGGTTACAGAGTAAGAGGCACAGCTTATGCTGATATGTGTGGAAGATAACGGCTAATCCTAGGCTTGAAGAGGTTAAGATTCTAGTGACCGGGAAAGCAACCTCTTGGGAGTCGATTCCACAAGGCAATGATTGATGGGAAGAAGCTGCTTGAGTGAAACTTACTTCACACCAAAGGAATACGAAAGGAATGAGGGTGGTTCGCTATAATGGGTGTGGCATTGTGGGTCTTAGCCGTGAAGTTTAGAACTGATGGTACTAAGTTCATCTGAACACTCTCCGTGGAAATAGCGATAGAACAGTTAGAGGCTTGCAACGTCACATCTGTGAGGAAAGCGGTTGTAGAGTGGAAAATAATCCGTCGCCCACAAGGCCGCGGAGACGCTTTTGAACTCTATCGAGGGCGAAGACAGGGCAGCTACCATCAATATATGACAGCATTAGGCCATTTTCGGCCTGAACTGGCAATTGTAAAGGTATAGCAGGAGGAGTAAGATACTCGCTTGAGCAGTTCAGGTTGCCGACCATTTTCCCAGCATCCCTAGCGATGGATCATGTGGATGAGTTCCACTCGAAGTTTAAGTCATAATAGGTGCTCAAGTATTATCTTAGCCCCAAAAAGTAGGCTTAAATACATTTTGATTAATTGAATTAGATCGTGATATCATAGTTGATGCAATAATTCTAATATTTTCATTATTTCACCCGAGAAAAAATTAATATTAGAAAAAGTTGTTATAAATTTCAAATGAAATTAACAGTAACTGTTCAGTAAATGAATATCGAATGTTTTTTCTATTGAATCAGCATTACCGTTGCCATTACCTTTACCATTACCGTTGCCAGTATTTTTACCATTACGTTACCATTACCTTTAGCATTACCTTTAGCATTATCATAAGCATTACCGTTACCATTAACTTTAGAATTATCGTTAGCATTACCGTTGTCATTACCGTTAGCATTACCATTAGCATTACCTTTAGCATTATCGTTGTCATTACCGTTACCATTATCTATATCATTACGGTTACCATTACCCTTAACATTACTGCTGCCACTAACATTAACCTTACCGTTATCATTACCGAAAGCATTACCTTTGCCATTAACTTTAGCATTACCGTTACCATTACCTTTAGCATTATCGATAGCATGAACGTTATCATTACCGCTGCCAATACCGCTAGCATTATTGTTGCCATTACCAATAGGATTACCGTAAGCATTACCGTTACCATTACCTTTAGCATTATCGTTAGCATTACTGTTAACATTACCGCTGCCATATCATTATCATTACCGTTGTCATTATCTTTAGGATTACCGTTGCCACTACCGTTAGCATTGCCATTGCCGTTACCATTATCTATATCATTACCGTTACCATTACCCTTAACATTACTGCTGCCACTACCATTAACCTTACCGTTATCATTATCGAAAGCATTACCTTTGCCATTAACTTTAGCATTACCGTTGGCATTACCGTTACCATTACCACTGGCATTACCGTTAGAATTATCATTGCCATTATCGTTAGCATTACTATTAGCTTTACCGCTACCATTACCTTTGCTATTACCTTAGTATTACCGTGAGCATTAACGTTAACATTATTTTGTATTAGCGTTGGAATTAGCATTACCGTTACCGTTACCTTTAGAATTACCATTGTCATTATCGTTAGCATTACTGTTAGAATTACCAAGAAAACACAATATCAAAGAGAATCAAATCATTAACACTCGACAGCTTTTAGAAGAAAGTACCGTAGGTTACCAAATGTCAAGCACCAGAGAAACTTTTGTTGGTCGGTTGTTTTTGTTTAGCGGCATATTAATTTACTTTTCTTTTTGGAAAGAATAATGTTTTTAGCGATATAAATCTTACTAATTAACCCATATCTAGGGGGAGAAGAGGTGGATTGATAACTTTACTTAAAAATATTTGAGTGTAAGTGAATATAACGAACCCAACGGGAATTGGAACTCAGCTTTCCGATTAACAATTACCGAGCCATAAATTACATCACCCGCACATCCAAACTTGTAGCCTCAGGTATTCCCAAGCGGTCACCCATCCAGGTACTGACAAGGCTTAACGGTGTTTAACTTCCATGTACGGAAATCGGTGTTTCAACGTGATGCGGCCGTAAAACGACAGAAGTTTAGAAAACACACCGGAACTCACGAAAGATTTCTCATGGGTTTAAAAATGTAAACACGCCTTAATAAATAAATACCTGTGTTAGTAAGATTTAAAATTGGAGCTGGTACCCAATTAGCATTTAAAATTTTGGCTCTTATATCAAGAACGAAACGACCAAAGTAAAGATACTCTGAAAGTTAGAAGTAAATTGATTGAAGTTAAGCCACCCGTAAAATCTGAAAAGTATAAAATGTTCTTTGACAACATCTTAACAAATATTGAAACAATGATACGGCTTAGAAACAGAAGAATAAAAGCTACAGCAACCTGTCCTGGGTATGACGATATACTACATCCTGTAGCAAGACCACTGATTGGGAGGTTATGAGGAGCGTGGAACTACCTTTTAATTACTTTTGTTCCTACCCGGGGTGGTAGCACCTGTTAGGGTCCCAGCTGTAGGCAAATATTGAATCCTTAAACTGGGAACAAAACTCTACCAACGTTTAAAAAAATGTTATAATAAAAATACCAGCCATAGATTTTCATAGAAAATCAAATTATCAGCGCAATACGTTTTTGTAAAAGAAATTACCCAAGCTCCCAAGAAAATTAAATTTTGGCATTAAATGACCCATAAGGATGTTGATATGCCGCTAAAAAAACAAAGCTACAGCGACAATGAACGAGAATCGCTAAAAATGACCTTAATATGAAGAATGAAAAGAATGGATTACGACAAAGATTTTTAAAAGAAACCTATTTTTTTAACTGTAAGAAAATATACCCTTCTGTTTTTTTTAATCATTTCACCCCAAGCAAGGCAATAAAGCCGCTAAAACGCATGGGATTACTGAGTGTTAGAGAATATGAGAAAAATATACTATTAAGGAGTGATGATAATAAAAGAACAAGATTTAAGAAGATAGAAGATAACGATTGGGATTGCATTTAAATTTTTGAAGATGAAAGGCAATAAAGCCCCTAGGATACAAGCGGTTACTGAGTGTTAGAGAATACAAGAAAAATATGTCTAAGCATTTACAGCTCAGTGGGGAGAAAATGGTTTGTTACATTGAATGCCACGATAGGCAAACTTGTGACGTCCTATCCTCATCGATTGGACCCTGGATCTTTACGAACGTATGTCCTCTCTGGAAGGATTCTTGGCTTGAGCTTTTATTTGGACTTCAGCTCAACCCTGACCTCAAGTAGAACTCGTACAAACGATCTATTGCCTTTAATCCACCGTTGGTTTAATGCCGGTTGGTTTCCTATACTGCTCCAGTAAGTAACTCCTACTGCTATCCTTTACCGTGTCAATAATCAGATCAGGCCGCTACTGCTATAGATGGGAAGGAGCTACCAAATTGTCACTTTCCAGTCTTGATAGCTGAAAAGTGTCTCCGCGTCCTTGTGGATGATGAATTATTTTCAACTCTGACACTGTTCCTACAGAAGAAGGCTTGTAAGACTGACTTCCCTATCGCTATTTCCATGGAAAGTGTTCAGATGAACTACATTCATTAGTTCCACCAGCTCTTACCTTCACGGTTAGGACCCACCATGCCACGCCCATTGTAGTGAACCACCTCATTCTTTCCATATTCCATTAGTGAAATGTAAGTTCTACTCAAGCAGCTTCTTCCTACAAACTGCGGCTGTGTGGAACTGATTCCCAAGAGGATGCTTCCTCAATCACTATAATCTTAACCTGTTCAAGTCTAGGGTTAACCGCTAACTTCCCCCACATATCCCCATAAACTGTGCCTCTTACTTTGTAACCATTTACCTTGAGTGGCTCTTGGGCCTTGTACAGGCTGAAAATATAAGTTTGTTATTTTCTGATATGTCCCGATAAGGGATATATTTGTTCGAAGTAGCAAAGTGGTTGTTCACTACTGTAGCCGAGTAGGACAATCTAGCAGGTAACCGTCGTGGACTGGTCCTCGTCGTAGTGGTAGGCAATGGGCGTAAGCCTATAGGCATCCTCCTGTACCTCTACATCAGTCTGTATTTATGGCTGACACCAGCCAATCATATTACTGTGAGGGAGAACCCGGGTGTATGCATATTCATTACATCATTTTCCTACATCAGATTTGTTATTATTTTTAGCTGTACCTAAAATCTCTTTATAGCATAAATCATATTCCCATGGTGAGATGTAAGTTCCACTTGAGCAGGTTCTTCACACGAACACCTGTTTTGTGGAACCGACTCCCAACAGGATACTCCCCAATCTTAACCTATTCAGGTTTAGTGTTAACCGTTATCTCCCCCATATACCCCAATAAACATGCACCTCTTACTCTGTAAGAGTGGTTCTTGGGCCTTGTTCAGGGTAAACATTGTTATAAAAAAATGAGTGTTTTTCGTTTGTTGCCCAAGCGAACGTCAATTGATTATATTACACACATTTGTCTCTACGTCTTTGCCAGGGTAACGCCTAATTTTTCCTTAATCTTTGGAAGTATCCTTTTGAAGAAAACAATTCCAAGTACGTGTTATGACAAGCAAAATTTTCAAGAGCAGATTTACCAAACAGTTGGGTAGCACCTCATAAATCTTCTTCGAAATGGCGCACGGATTCCAACTGATAGGTGTAGACAACTCGCTGGTATCACCTGTCACTCAAATAGATGAACTATATAAATCTAAATCCATACAAAGATAGCTGTAAAAACAACAGCGCTGCTTCCAACAAAATTAAGTCTTCAGTATGGACAGCTGCTGTATAACAAATGCCAGTAACCTATTAGGTTTAGGCAGAAGTAATTTCCGTTTTGGAGAACCAGCTGTAATGACAAATGTATCATCCTAACTCTTAATCATAGGTGGAAGTCAAACGAAGTATACTAACTGATAGAGAGGTAGATAGATAGATATGAAAGACCATCCGTATATATATATATATATATATATATATATATATATATAGAGAGAGAGAGAGAGAGAGAGAGATAGATAGATAAGGGCCATACAGAGATAGATAGATAGATATGAATGACCATATGTATATATATATATATATATATATATATATATATATATATATATATAGAGAGAGAGAGAGAGAGAGATAGATAGATAGATAGATAGATAGATAGATAGATAGATAGAGGTCCATACGGAGATAGATAGATAGATAGATAGATAGATAGATAGATAGATAGATAGATAGATAAGGTTCATACGGAGATAGATAGATAGATAGATAGATAGATAGATAGATAGATAGATAGATAAGGTCCATACCGGAGATAGATAGATAGATAGATAGATAGATAGATAAGGTTCATACGGAGATAGATAGATAGATAGATAGATAGATAGATAGATAGATAGATTAGGTTGTCATAAGTAATTTCCATTTGAGGGAACCGACTGTTATGACGAATATATCATCCTAACTATTAATCTTAAGTGGAAGTCAAACGAAGTATACTAACAGATAGATAGATAGATAGATAGATATTAATGACCAAAGATAGATTAGATTAGATTAGGTAGACTCATAAGTAATTTCCGTTTTTGGAAACCAATTGTAATGACGAATGTATCATCCTAACTACTAATTATAAGTACCAGTCAAACAAAATATACTAGCAGATAGATAGATAAGATTAGATTAGGTTGATAGCAGATAGATAAGATTAGATTAGGTTGATAGCAGATAGATAAGATTAGATTAGGTTGAGTTATAAATAATTTTCGTTTTTGTGAATCAGCTGTAATGATGAATGTATCTTGTTACCTAATCATGCATCGAAGCTAAGGACTTCATTTTCCTGGAAGCCTGTAAAAACCACATATGTCAGTTCATCGCCCAGTAAGATTCAAAGTTCTGGGACGATTGAATCATGTAGTTGTTTCAAAGATGGTGAAAATTTGTAGAACGAAAAAAAAAAGCACATATGTGGTTGAATAAATCTGCGTAAATATTGTTTTTTTTAAAGTTCACTAAACAACATATCTAACTTTTTCCGACCTGATATATTCTTACATTTTGTTTCATTGTTTAGCGCTAAAAATGTTATTTATTTATCTATTTACTATGATTTTTAAGTATTTACTAATTGTACTAGTTGGAACCATAAGTAATTTCCACTTTGGAAACAATACTAATAATGAAAGTAAGTACTAATCATATGTAGCAGTTAAGAATAAATAAGGACTATATTAAGATAAGTTAGTTTTTGTACAGCAATGGCAGCGTACACGGTGGATTAAAGGAAAAAGATTATTCTCTTCTATAACTATACAAAGCTATATACTCAGGAACAGCACAAGAAAAACAGGTCCACTGTCGATGGCTTAGCTGTTATATTCACGTAAGATCGTGTTTTGTTTGTGTGTGCGTGTGTGTGTGTGTGTGTGTGTGTGTTTGTATAATAGCCGTTTTATTTTATGTACTCATTTAGAGCGCTGTTTTACTATTCAGTGGCAACATTTGTTTCTAATATTGCAATGGCGGACAAAAATATTAGAAAATATGGGAAGTGGTAGGAAATGAAACAATATGTAAATGTACGCATTTTTTAAAGGGAGAGCGAGAGAAAAGGAGAAAGAGAAAGGGAGAGAGAGAGAGGTGGGGGTAAAATAGTGTGCGTGTCTAATTGTCGTTAAGGCGTTGAAAAAAAGCCTAGAAGTGGATAACGACTAGTTGTCGATTACAACTAAAATAAAAAACGAAATGCTATAACAAATAACACATCATGATGTCAACTTGTTAAATAATAGTTTCAGACTATTATTTTATTTAGTATTTTGATGTATTTGGTTCAAACCTTCTGAGGCTAACCTTTAAGGTCAGATGGTAGACAAAATAGGGATGTCGATTTTGATTAGCTGAGTCGAACGTGGGAATATTAGAGTTAGAAGGTGTTTTCACGTCATACTGATTGGACGTGGTTATTTCCTGTCTCGGGAACTTGCTTCCCAGTGGGAGTGATAGAGCGACCCCCCCTCTGGCTAGTTAAAAATGTACACGTCGAAGTATTTATTAAAATAGATAAGTTAAAAATCCCTTTTGTTGACGTTCTCGTTTTATCTCCGAAAAAAAAAAACAAAAAAAAACAACTAGCGATCACCCGTTGGGGAGATAACGGCCGAGAAAAAAGAATGCAGATTTGTTATAGAATTGACCCCCGTCAACGAAAGAGTGGGGGGTATACAAAAAACTTCCCACACAGCTAAAAAAGACTAAAAGGAAACTACCTCAATAGAACAATATCAATCGACATAAGAAGACTAGTTTCCAGAAAATTTAAGAAAAAGTTTTGAATTTCAAACGAGGAGTTGATTTACGTGACTCCTCACTGAGTCAGGTTTTGACACAAGGTCAGTTTTTAACATGGGGACCTGAGTGTCTTCATCCGTGCCGCTAGTCTTAAGTGCTGGTCAGAGCTGGCCTAAGCTAGTCACAGCTAGTCTTAGCTGGTCATAGCTGTGATACTACCAGCGCAGGACGGATCCCTGTAAACAGCAAGTATCAGAATGTGTATACTCCTCATGAGAGCGGTTTACGAATTTCAAACGAGGGGCAAGGAATTTGTGTGTGGGTCTTGTTAGCATCAAGAATGTCTATTTACTAAACAACCTGGACAAGTGAATTGTTTTAAAGTCCTTAATTGCCTGTGCCTTACAATGCACACTCACTCCATCATAATACTGTGTCCTTTTCTGGTGCACCACACGTCAGATGATGCTACAATTTAATGGAGTTTCCATGTCCTAGTTGCATGTTGAGCGTTGGCTCTTATAAGAAACTCATCCACTCTTTGCCAATCCCCTCCAAGTTAGTTTGTATTTAGCGATTTCCTTCTCCTAGATTGGTTGCCAATCAGGGCTATAGAGTCCAGCATGTTTTGCTATTTACCCAGAGTTGGGGAGGGGCGAAGAGGTTGCTCCATCAGTTAAGTGCCATACGTGATACACGTATATACTTGGGCGATCATGTATCTTTCGATACATGACTGACGAGGTAGATTTTTCCGCTGTAGGTTGCAATCTTTTTCTTAACCAAGGCTAAAAAAACAGTCTGTTCTGCTATTGAACCCATAGCTGGGGGAGAAGAGATGGATTCAAACCTTTCTCAAGGTATAAGTGAATCCTGCGAACTCGATTGGAATTTGAACTCGGCTCTCTGAGTTATCACTCCAAGCCGATATCCATTACACCACAACGCACATGCCAAATGCATTTACGCGTAAGAACCCGACTGAAATTCGAACTCGACTCTCCAATTCCTCATTCTGAGCCGTTATCCCTTATTACACCTTGCAACACCTGGAATCGCCAACCGGTCATCCACCTGGGTACTGACCAGGCTCGACGTTGCTTAACTTCGGTAGTCAGACGGGATCTGGTGTTTCAAAGTGACGTAGCGGTAAACATAATATAAGAGTTATATTTAGAAGGTACAGAGAGAGAAAAAGAGAAAGAAAGAAAGAAAGAAAGAAGGAAAGAATGCGAAAGAGAGAGCGAGAAAGAAAGAAAAAAGAAAGAGAGAAAGAGAGAAAGAAAGAGAGGGCTAGAGAGAGAGAGAAAAAAAAAAAGAAAGAAAGAGAGCAATAAAGAAAGAGTAAGAGAGAAAGCGAGAAAGAGAGAGATAGAAATAAAGAAAGAGAAAGAGAGAAAGCGAGAAAGAGAAAGAGAGATAGAAATAACGAGAAAGAAAGAGAGAAAGCAAGAAAGAGAGAAAGAAATAAAGAAAGAGAAAGAGAGAAAGCGAGGAAGAGAAAGAGAGAAAGAGAAAAAGAAAAAGAGAAAGAAAGAGAGAAAGCAAGAAAGAAATAAAGAAAGAGAAAGAGAGAAAGCGAGAAAGAGAAAGAGAGAAAGAGAGAGAAATAAAGAGAGAGTGAAAGCGAGAAAGAGTAAAAGAGAGAGAAATAAAGAAATAAAAAGAGAGATAGAAAGAAAGAGAAAGACAGAAAGAGAGAGCGAGAGAAAGAGAAATGGAGAGAGAGGGAGGTGGGGGGTAAGATAGTGTGCGTGTCTAATTGTCGTTAAGGCGTTTTCGGGCTAGTAGTCTACAATATAACAGACAATTAAATTTAATTTTATTTCCACAGTAAGCTGATATTTAATTTCGTCGTTACTCTCTTCTCTCCTGCCCCTTCTCTTATCTTCCAACACACAATAAAGCTGACATATGACTAGTCAGTTTTAATTGTATTCTTGCAGATCTCTTCGCTTACGACTCTCTTTAGAAGTGGCGTTTCTTCCTGTTCGAGAATAATGTTCTGCACATGCGCTTCCGTCATTAATTCATTCGTAATCTATGATTAATTAACTGATTAGAAGCAATAAGCGTTACGATAATTTACGTCGGATTTTAAGTCTAGGCGGGAAATTGTCTCAGTAGTGGTAATAACAAACTTCAGGTACGTTTTATTGAAAACGGTCTGAACACATTTATCGTCCGGAACATATATCTAACATTGACTCGATCAATGGCGACAGCAATTCACATATATACAACTTTTAAGACATTCTTTATGTTTATACGTTCTTTTTATACATACAAATATTTAAGTAAATGCTCTGTTTATAATAAACAGTATTAACGACATTTACCGGCCTGAATGCCCGAGAAATTTTCATAGAAAATATGCATCTTCCGACAGAACTGTCTATAGCCTGACGTGCTTTACCGATTTAGCCACAGAGGAGCGTTTCGGTAAGCAATGTCGATTTTACTGTTTTTAAACTTACAATTGACCTTGCTAACCGAGCTTTTCCTTCAAATGCACATCCTAGGCGCAGTTGGTTCGACAACGTGTTGAGATATCTCATGTCAGCTACTGACATGTGACGAATTCGGATCTGTACCTTGTGGCTGGGAGGTCATCTCTCAGATCAACACATCGACGCAAGATTCAAGCGAATAACCCTGGCTGAAGGGTTATGTAGAATTCATTCGTCCACAAGCAGAGGAAAAGAGTGAAGGGGAATTGAGCGAAATTAATCACAAAATAACCATGAAAATGAAAATAGTTGGGTTTGAAGAATTAATTTTTTAGAAGAAAAGATTTTATAATATCAACGATTACTTCTGGAGCTGGTTTTGTCGTCGTTTCTTTCGGATAACAAGGATGAAAGCTACTAAAATCTTTGACCCAAAGTGGAGAGAATGTTCTTAATTTTCACAAAATGTAGGTTTTATGAATTTAAGCGTAGCGTTAGATTGGTGGCAAGCTTTCATCATTTTACAGTTGAAATAGATAGACATAACTGTAAATTCTATGCTGACAGTTTTTTCTCTCGCACTTATAACTTGTGGAACTCTCTTCCGGTTTCTTGCTTTCCACTCAACTTTGATCTTTACAAATTTAAATGCAATCTCAATCGTTACCTTCTACCTCAATTCCTCTTCTTTTATTATTTGTTCTCTTTATTAATGTATCTTAGTGGCTTTATTGCCTGTCTTAGGATGAAATGATTCCTTGTATTATCATCCAATAATGTCTTCTCTTTTTGGCAATGTACTGGAAGTTCTGATTAACTCCAGATTAGCTAAGCATTTCACTTAGCATGGTCTTCTTTCAGAAAAACAATATGGCTTTTGCTTCGGTGCTAATTAATCCAAAATTCGATAAATACTTCTTGCCACTTGCAGCAAGCAAGATATTTTGAGAATCAAATATATACTTGATGTACACCAATATTGTCCTCTAAGTGTTTCAATGCTTCTTCTTTGTATTTAGAGATTCTTGATAACATGAATAAGAAGAATCGGCAATGTTATTGGCCCTGACCTGGCATCTCGGCTTCAGTCACTTTTCCTTCGCCATAAAGTAGTTTTCCTGAGCTTTTTTTAATGAAGGTTTTCATCGTAACTGTTCTTATGAGCTTAACTATATGGTACCAAGATTTCATGAATTTAAGTGCAGTACCAGATTGGTGGCAATGTCTCATCATTTTACAGTTGAAACCGGAAGTTCTCTGCTAACAGTTTCTTCTCTCTCACTTCACGCTTTTGGAACTCTCCTCCGGCTTCTTGCTTCACAGTCAAGTTTGATCTTAAAAAATTGAAATGCCATAACAATCGCTATCTACTGTCCTTACGATTACTCCTTTTGTTCCCGCACCTTAGTAATATTTCGAATTTCTTCACACCCAGTACCCCCTCCTTGCGTCGTAGTGGCTTTACTGCCTTCCTTAAGGTGAATATCATCATCTGTCTTCTTAATTCATGCTATTTTATTGTTCTCTCTCCTTTTTATATTATCTAACACCCAATAAACCTTTTGCGTCTTAGTGGCTGTATTGCCCTGTTTGTTGTGAAATGATGTGTACATTATCTGATAAAATATTTTGAAAAACATTTAGGATATTTTGGAGCCGCGATTAATGAAATCGTTGCTCAGTGAATCATTTATTCGACCCGCATCTCCCAAATTGATTTTCATTTATTTCAGACCCCCACCCGGCAAATAAAATATCACGAACGACTCTCCACGAGAAATGAATTGGAAATGTTCATCAACATTCTGCTCTTTGGTGAATATCATCAAGTTCTACAAGAACATATTTCATTGCAATTGCTTCCGATAAGAGAACAAATAAATGGTCATAATTCTGTTTTTAAAGATTTCGAAAAAATGTTTCTACATCTAAAGGATTGAGTACCAATTATATACCCGTCCTGGGTATGACGATAAACTAAATACGGGTCGTCGGTATGACGATAAACAACATCCGAGTCCTGGGTATAGACGATAAACTACATCCGAGTCCTGGGTATGACGATAGACTAAATACGGGTCGTCGGTATGACGATAAACTACAGCCGAATCCTGGGTATGACGATAAACTACAGCCGAATCCTGGGTATGACGATAAACTACAGCCGAGTCCTGGGTATGACGATAAACTACACCTTACTGCAAGGCCTCTGATCAGGAGGTTTTAAGAATCTCTTAATTGCTGGTGTTTCCAGGTCCACCTTGATCTGGGGTGGTTGCACCTGTTAGGGTCCCAGCTATGGGTAAATAGTTACCCTCAAACTGGGGTCAAAACACTATGTAAGTATGAAAATAGGTTTTAATAACAGAAATGCTTTGTAAAAAAATTATTACCAGCAATACATTTTTGAAAAGAAAAAAAAGATAGTACCAGTAATACATTTTTGAAATTTGGTAATAACCAGCTATACATTTTTGAAGAAAAATATTACCAGAAATAAAAATTAAATAACGCATTGAGGTTGACATGCCGTAAATCAAAGCAATCCAAACCAGAAATACATAAAAAAAAAAAAAAATTACTAGAAATTAAAAACAAAAAATTGCCGGTATTAAATAACCCATGCCGTAAAAGAAAGCAAACCAAACCAGAAATACATTTTTGAAAATAAATATATTACCAGAAATATATTTTTGGAAAAATATTACCAGCAATAAAAATTTGTCAGCATTAAATAACCCATTCAGGTTGATATGCTGTAAACCAAACCAAACCAAACCAAACCAAACCAAACCAATTATATGCACCTTGAAATTTTCTTATCACATTTCATATCATTAGACGAAATGATGGCAGATTATTATGGAATGAATCAACGAAAATATTCATGGAAGATCAGAAAATCAAATTGAGTTTTGGTGTCTGGAGTTTCAGATCAACATTTCTAAAATAGAAAGTATGATCTGGAATTTAAATAAGAGCAATGATGTTACCCAAACTGAATACATCACAAAAAATATTAGAATGTTAATTGATGAATTCTACAAACTAAACACAAGGGTGGGACTGAAAGTTTCATAGGAAGAATATGAAAGAATAATGCTCGAGCTGTGAAAATCTTGCATGCATTAATTTCAACTCTTTGTATTACTGTTGAAATTCATATAATGTTTAATAAATAACGAACGTTTCCAGTAATGAAACGGCAAATATTTCGATTGAAACAGTATCAAAGAGAATCCGGCCACCAGCAACTTTCAGAAGAGCAAAGGTGATGGAAAAAACATCGAGAGGGAGAGAAACTTAAAAACATGGAGAAAATTTCGGGGTGTTCTTTATAAATAAAAGACCCACATACGCGCTAATGCATAGGCGCCTATGTCAGAGAGAAACCTTTTTAACAGCAACAAATTACACACATCAGATTCTTTTTTGCAGAAACAAATTACATCCTTCCTATTCTAACAGCAACAAATTACACATTTCATATTCTTTTTAACAGCAACAAATTACACCCTTCCAATTCTTTGTTAATAGCAACAAATTACACACTTCATATTCTTTTTATCTCAACAAATTACATCCTTCCTATTCTTTGCTAACAGCAACAAATTGAACCCTTCACATTCTTTGCTAACAGCAACAAATTACTCACTTCAGATTCTTTCTGACAGGAACAAATTACACCCATCCGATTCTTTTTTTGCAGTAACAAATTACATCATTCCAATTCTTTCTAACAGCACCAAATTACACCCTGCCGATTCTTTCTAACAGCAACAAATTCACCCTTCCAATTCTTTCTTAATAACAAATTACAGACTTGCAATTCTTTTTAACTTTAACAAAATACACACTTTCCATTATTTTTAACAGGAAAAATTACACCATTCCGATTCCTTTTTACAACAACAAATTACACCCTTCCGATTCTTTTTAGCAGCAATAAATTACACTCTTCAGATTCTTGATTAACAGCAACAAATTACAACCTTCTTCTTCTTACATTTAGTTTGAAACGTAACTGCCAAAAAATAAAAAAAATAAAAAAACGTTACAATTCCTATGCAATAATGCATATAAAAATATAATGAATATATAAGAGGAAATGATTTGTTACAGAAAGCCATGTCTCTTTATACGCCGCCCTGTAATGATTGGTCTTGTTTTTTTGATGCTTTTTGATACACAATTTTTCTGATACCACTGCGCGGTAAATTGTTAGACATTTTTCAAGGAGATCAAGCCAGAAGTTGCAATTCCATTTCTCAGTGAAAGAAAGAAAATAGTTCTCAGATAACTTTCAAAAACTTTCCTCCTCTGAATCGTTTTGCATCTCCAAAGCACAGCATCGCAAAAGGTCGGTCAAGTAAAGCAATACGATTCGGCGAAATCCATCATTTGGTTGAGCCCAAATCACTAAACACAATATATATTGAATATTTGAATATTGCTGCCACACCTTGTCTGTTTCTACTATGTATTTGGAGATTCTTGACAAAATATAAAGAAACTGCTGTTATTGATCCTGACCTAGCAACTCGACTTCAGTCATCGTAACGTAGTTTCCCTCTGCCTTTTCTATAAACATTTTCATGGTAATTGTTCTGATGAATTTTTCTGGTAACTAGACTCTAGTCATTTAGGCGCGGTATTAGATTAACGGCAAGGTCTTATTACTACGATATGTTCTCAACAATTAAGAAGTTAAACACTGATTAACTTTAATATCTGTGCATATATTTATGAGATGAGGTATTGTAATTATTTACATTGTTTGGTCTGTTGTTCTCAGCTTTATTGCCCTATTCACGACGAGAATAGAGGAGAATATGACTAAGGACTGCGTGTACGCCATCCCATGCAGCTGTGGTAAGAAATACAAAGGAGAAACAAGCCGCCCCCTTAAAGTAAAACGACAAAAACATCGTAAATCCGTAACACAAGAAGAAATAGAAAAATCAGGCGTAGCTGACCACATATGGAGGGGAAAGAAAAATCACCGCCTCCTGTGAGATGAAGTTAAAATAATAGACAGAGAACATCACTGGAAAATACGAAAACATAAGGAATCAGCAAATATGCTAGGCCACAAAAATCTCTTAAGCCGGGAAAGTATAGAAATTATTACTCCAGAAAAGAAAGAGAGAAAAAAGAAACATCCCCACGGGTGAACTTACCTATATACTTTTTTTTTCATTTATGAATGCAAGCCAATTTGCAGATACGCATATTAGCAGACATTTTGCCATAGTACTGAACATACTATGGCCGAGTTTTGTCGTAGGAGAGATAATAATGTTACAGAGTAATAATAATAATAGACGGAAAACAACATTGGAAAATATGAAAACTTAAGGAATCAGCACATACCCTAGGTCACAAAAATCACGTGAGCCGACCAAGCATAGAAATGAATACAATATGGGAACCAGTAATACGAAGTATTAGAGAAAAGCAGTAATAACAACGAAATTGCAATATGAGTTCTGGTAAAAAACGTTACGAGACAATAAGTTTACAAGCCCCCAAAATTTATACACTAATGTCCTCAAGAACACGTCCCAGTGGCTAAAAGCATTGGTTAGATCCAGTAACTTGACCCAAAGTGTCATACTTCAATACTTGGCTATTACAGTGATGAACAAAACATTCGAGAGTTGAGTTAAAGGGCATTCACTGAGATACCCGGAAGAAGCATGACACGTGGAACTAGAACAATCTACCCCGGTGAACGAAATAAAGGGTTCAGTTCGAAATTCCAGTCACCTGATCAAGGCCGGAGCGTACAACATCCGAAACGTCGTGAATATGGCAATAAAGAAGAAGAAAACAGTCCGAATAATGTAAACTGATTAACTGTTAGTACAGTTCTTCCCATAACCTTTTCGTCCACGAAACTAATATATATTCATTACTCCAGCTAGAATATCTCGGTCAAATTATAAGCTGCCAAAAATCCTCCCATGATTCTATAACTCCCAAGAGCCAATATTTCTATTCTCGTTTGTCTTCAGCGGGGAAAATGACCCACCCTCCACACCGCTATAACCGTTAGACAAGCTGATTTTATCGGTTTCTGTTAACGAGACCTGGTCGTACTTGGCTTGCGCGTGTATATGTCTTAGTGGGGGCATTGACATCGTCCTCATTTTCTGTCTCACATGTAACTGTATACACGTGCCCCCAAGGAGAAACAGACGAAGATAACGGAATACATCAGGTGTAATTAATCAAATAAAGAATATCGTACAAGAAAATGAGAACTTATATTACGTATGTAAATATATAGATGGGTTTGTTAGCGGCAGTTTCCAGTTTCTTTCCTTGCAGGCGATGGCTCCAGAAAAGAAAGAGAGAAAAAAAGAAACATCCACACGGGTGAACTTAGCCATATACTTTTTTTTTCATTTATGAATGCAAGCCAATTTGCAGATACGCATATTAGCAGACATTTTGCCATAGTACTAAACATATATGGCCGCGTTTTGTCGTAGGGGAGGTAATAATGTTACAGAGTTGAACACACGTTTTCGGTGTTCACTAACGAATTCTCTTTTCTTGAATCAAATTCCCTCAGAACATATCGATTTCTTTGTTTTCTATCTATCTTTGCATTAAATCTACATATATAAAATATACTGTATCTACACTACACTTTTTTTTTATTAGACTCAGGTAATTTTTGCCAAGCATGAGTCTGGTCATGTCAGCAAATTCTCACGTTTAGATATTTATTCATGCTTATTTCATGCTAAAAATTTAGTCTTAATTAATCTGAAAATTCAGTTAACCGGATATCGTTGAGAGAGGATTGATTACAGTT